TGAGCCACAGTAGCCACTTCGCGTGATCACGAGACCGGATCGAATGGCTTCATTAATGTGGCTTATTTGCGATTACACGAAAATCAAGCCACTAATATACATCATGTGATCACACGATGTGGCTTTTCGGAAATTTGCTGACGGTGTCCGCTATACTATATTTGATCCCCGGGCATATTCCGACCCTAAATTTTGGTCGATCTGTTGAATTTTGGTTGCTCTACTAATCTATTCAAACTTTACGCAGAGTCTATTGTAGTTTGATAATGCTAGCTACATAAGTGTTTCATAATCCTGGTACTTTATATCACGTGTGAAATTTACATGAAATCCATGTTACTGAAATTTGCGCAAGATTACTTGAAATTTAAGATTTTAAGATGTAATTTTCAACCTTAGCCAACATAGTCTAGCAAAATTATCAGCTGGGCATTTTTACTTAATGACTTCGTTAGTAAACTTTTTAGTGATCTTGGGCAATTCCAGCACATCCGACTGGATTCCGATTTATTCACCCAGAATTTTGGTGATTAGTTCCCTGTATTAGTTTAATTAGGCCTTATAGGAAGAATTTTCAATCGCATTTTATGTAATTTCAAGAGCATCTGACTTACTCTCAATTCGACACATATCGTTTTCTTATCAATGTATTTGACCATATTCAGGTTTGACTTAAAAATAGATACAGTACTTTTGAGATTTCCTCTAATTAAACAGGTTTATATATTCATTGATCGAATTCATGTATTTAAGTAGAAATTTGATCTTTATCACTCTTTTGCAACTTATACCGATTTAGAATCGTACAATAGTATATATTAGAAATATAATTAAGTGTTCTGCTTGTGATTGTGAGAAATTGGTTGGATGGTTTGTAATCTAACGACAATACGTAGCATAAACATCGGGAAATTTTCAAATTGGTTGGTAATCGATTGACACTTAGAAATGGTAATCGATAAACAGCACCCCTGTCGATTACCAATAAAACTTTCTAAACAAGTGAGGTTCGAGTCGAAGTTGAGAATGTTGAACAATTTAGTATGTATAAGATTTACTTTTTTGCTGTTACAAGATTTTTTAAATAGGTTCTTTGCACTCATGAATATTTCTTTATAAAGCCGACCATGTGTCAAACACCAACATGTTCTAACAGAGATTCATGAGTACTTAAAATCGAAGAATCCAAGTTTACAGACTGGCAAAAAGTTCGGATTCAGGAAACTCCAAATGAAATACCTACAGAAAGCATGCCTAGAACGTGAGTTATTATTTGAACCGAATTTGTCATTTAAATCATTTAAATTTGTAATTATTACAATTTTACCTCTTATCATTAAATGATATAAAAGTCTTGAAGTTATTCCAGGTATCCATCAATTAGGAGTTCTAGGTATGCTATAATCACATAATCTTATTAGATGTTCAATAAAGAAATTTTTTGTTTAATATTTGCATATATTTATTTTCAGGTGTTGGAATTGAAGTTCAGCGTGATATTCGTAATAGTCGTTTCAAGGGAGCTAATGGATTAGCTAATGCTGGAGTCACGGGTCTAAAGTTTTTTGGTGCTAGAGATTTATCATATAAAATATCTTTTTTGGCATGTACAGTTCATAATGTTGACGCGAAGGTACAGATCATTTCTTTAATCAAAACTGATGGTTTTTTATTCTGACTTAAACGTTTTTAACATTCGTTATCTTGAAAAAAATAGCGTGATGCTTATAATAGACTAACGGAAGGGAACAATATTGAAAATGATTATGAAGCATTTGTTAAATCTATGAAAGGTATGGAGAAAGAACTTTTGGATGAGATGAAAGAATTTTCGATAACCTAGTCAAAAGTATCGCACCAAGTGTTTTTGCTAATAAATTTATTTTATCGGAGTTAGAATAGATTAATAAATAGGGAAGTCAGTTGACTAAAGGTTTAAATGAAGACGCCGAGGAAAATCAGACTTTTGGTTCATTACTTACCAGGCTTAGCCTTTATTAGAGACATATATGATACGTAGGCAAATTTAATTACGCGTTATTTATGTTATCAGTTAAGGCCGAGTCCGATAAATAATAAAAATAAGCTTGAAAAGCCCAATGTTAGTTTTCCCTGGCGTCACAGGTTTCAAATATTAATGGATAACATTTGAGCAACAACTCTAATAAGTAATAATTAAAATTATATATGTGGTTAGTTATACTTTTATAGACTTGTACATATTACAGTATATATAAGTTTAAAATTAATGAATTTCTTCATTAAGCAATTTAAATAATAATAATAACAGTTTAAAATACTGAAATAATGTTTTTTAAAAAACGGTATTACTAACATGCACCATAGATGTTTAGCTATCTCAAAAACTGTCTAATTAACCAAGACCAGGTGTATCAAGTAAAAATGTTTAGAATTCTATGTTAACTAACATCTGACCTTTTATATCTAACCTATCTTAGTAACTACACCCTTAAAACCTTAAATTTTACGTAGCATATGTGTATTTTATAATTTCTGTTAATATTTTTAAAAATGTTAAAAAATAATATAAATAAGTATATAGGGAAAGTCAATAAAAAAAAGGGATAATTCATTTTTAGTAAAAATCTTTTTTAATTTTTAAATATCTTAACAACTATTTAATCAAATTTGATAAAATTTTTTATTTTAATCTTAGAATTCTATAGAATTAAAATAAAAAACAATTTTTTTATTAAATTTGATTAGATATTTAAAAATTTAGAAAAATATCTTTTTCTACTGACTCATCCTCCTATTGCTAAAATTATATAAAATACTGTAACTATAAATCCCAAGATTAAAACTTCTATTTTGTTGAATACACTTGTCGAAAAAATCAAATATTATCCTATATATACTTAAAACTTTTTAATAAATATATATCATTATAGGCGTAACCTTTTTGATGGCATATGTCATAAAGAATTTGCCGATCATTGGCCAGATTTTAAGTCTTAAAACCATAGTAAGAGATCGGCAAATTTGACCAGATTTACGTAAGACTGGTTTTCCAATTTATTAATTCAATCATTATACGACAAAAATAATAAGAAAATAACTTTTCATTTGGACACAATTCTTACAATGGTATCTTAATTCTCCACTTTTAAGAGGCGGCAATAATCAATAAGCTATAAAATGCAATGAGTTAACCTTGTTTTGCTTTATTTAGCATGACGAATCTTTTTCCATTCAAGAATTAACGTCAATGTTACCGACGTCATTTGGATCACAAAAAAAGAAAACTGCTTCTTCGGATGTTTTCTCGAAAACAAGAAGAAAAGATGAGGTTATTTATTTAAGATAGCATTTACTTCATAATTCGTATTAAATAATGTGGAAGAGTTTGATATTGATTCCTATATATCGTACCTGACCTCTTAGTTTCTCTTTACGCTATGTACAGCAGGAAGAGATCAAACCAAGCACATCAGTTCAGACAACACCAAAGAATAAACGTATAAGGCATACCGATGAGGACAGTGAGACTTCACGTGTTGATCGAGATGATGATCAAAGCGGGGAATCAGATTATGATGATGATAATTATGATGAGGGTGAAGAAGAAGACATCGAATCTGATACTTTACCTATTTCGCACGAAATTAAGTTAAATGATCACTATAGGGTAGGATATACTACATATCTGTATTTATTTACTAGCATACTTGATTCAAAATCGGCCATTCTTTTAATTCTACAGAGTGTCTCTGCATTAACGCTTGATCCTGCTGGTGCACGGCTTATTACAGGAAGTTATGATTATGATGTAAAATTTTGGGATTTTGCAGGAATGGATTCTACATTTCGTCCGTTTCGAACGATTAAACCATGTGGCGATCACCAAGTTAGTTACAAAACCCAATTATTTTTGATTCCTGATGTTGCTAATTTAATGTGACTTATTTTACTTGTTAATATAGATTCATCATTTAGAATACAGCTTAAGTGGTGACCAATTTTTAATCATATCCGGTACCGCACAAGCAAAGCTTTATGATCGTGATGGATTCGAAATGTAGGAATATGTAAATGTTTATCATCGTATAATAAGTTTCTGCTTGTTAAAATATTTAATAATATTTCAATTTTAGTGAAGAGTATATTAAGGGTGATCCTTATATTAGAGACATGCGAAACACGAGGTAATTAATGTTACAAACCAGTTATTTCTATGCTATTTCTATCACAAAATTCTAATATTATTGTACTTATAGTGGCCATATAGCTGCTTTGACATGTGGGGGTTGGCATCCAAACGATAGACAGACTTTCTTTACTGGGTCTGCTGATAGTACAATTAGGTATTAAGCTATTGAGATATTATGATACATTCCGACCTCCTTAAATGTAACCTTTCCTAAAAGCATCCAACTGCAAACTCAAGCTCTAGTCTAAATATATGCATACCTTCTATAAACGCAATTTTCCTACCGTTATCTGGATGTACGTAATTAAAAGCTTGGTTTATACAAATTGTATTTAGGGAGGTCTGACTGTATTATTCATGACGGTATTGTACCACACCTTTTTTAAAAGCATTTTTACTAACACATTATCTATTATATAGAATATGGGATGTAGAAAATAAACGCAAGCAGAAACATGTGCTTGTACATAAGTCTAAAGAACGCGGAGGAAGAAGTGCTATAACTGCAGGATGCTATAGCCCAGATTCAAAATTTTTGGCTGGAGGTGTGCTATTATTATTATTATTATTATTTCAATACTTATCATTTTGCTAAACTTTGTATGTTACTCTAGCTGCACAGGACGGGAGCCTCTTTTTATGGGGTGGTAACGGCCCTTATATTCGTCCTTCTCATGCAAGTATTTTTTTTTTTTTTTATTACATAAATTGTAGAATCGTACGCAATATACTTATCTCATTTTGAAACTAAAGATTATTGAAAAGGCTCATCAACCACATAGTGAAACTTCTTCAATAGTATTTTCCAGAGATAATTTGTCAATAGTAACAAGAGGTGGCGATGATTGTGTAAAAGGTTAGTAATAAATATATTATCCGCTTAATAATGGCATTCAAAATTGTAATTCCGATTATACTTCTTTATTGAATAGTTTGGGATGTGCGTAATTTTAAAAATGCCGTAGCCCAGGCCAAAGAATTAACAACTTTCAATGCAGAAACTAACGTAATATTTAGTCCTGATGAACGATTGATTATTACCGGTATGTAGTAATGTGTTTATGAAACTTTTTGATATTTGGTAGCATTTATTAGTGGTAATTTAATTCACTTAATACGATTAATTTTTGTTTTATCGTAGGTACTGCCACCAAAAAAGGAGAAGGCTATGGAAAATTGGTGATGATGGACCGTAATTCATTAGAGATTGTTCGTACAATGAGTAGGTTTCCTCATTATAAACTATCAACATTTTAAATTCGTATAATTAATCGATGATGCCCAATTAGGTATTACACAATCTAGTGTTATTCGCGTTTTATGGCATTCAAGGATCAATCAGGTATGAATGACTATTATATAGCAAATTATCTTGTTTATTATTTCATTTCGGTGGGCAATATTTGCTAATATATTTGTTTTGCAGATCGTTACCGGAAGTGCGGATGGATTGGTTCATGTATTCTACGATCCAGTTATAAGTGTTCGGGGCGCCAAATTGTGTGTTGTCAAAGAGCCTAAGAAACGGGCTATTGACGACTATGAGATCAATCGTCCTATTATTGCACCGCACTCATTATCAATGTTCCGAGATGATAGACCAAAGTCGACAAAGCGAAAGAGAGAAAAATTACGCAAAGATCCTATTGCATCACACAGACCGGGTAACTATTAAAATTACTCACAAACACGAAATAGCATTTACTTATTACGATTTTTGTTCCATTTGTTAGACCTTCCTGTTAATGGTCCCGGTAAGGGTGGTAAGATTGGTAGCAGCTTAACACAGCACATAATGAAAGAGTTGATAAAGGACACGACTAGAGGTAATTTAACTTTTTGTTGGGGTTTTTTTTTCTGCCTTGTGTCTAATTGTGTGAACTGAAATTTCCACAGACGAAGATCCTCGTCAGGCTTTATTGAAATTTGCGGAAGTATCTCAAAGTAAGTATTACTTATGTTTCTATTATTAAAAGATGCTATCAAATGAAGGTATAACGCATATATTGCAATTTATTATTTAAATTTGCAGATGATCCGCAATGGATTGGAAACGGTAAGTGTATTTCATTGCTTTAATATCGTCTTCGCACCTAGGGATGGTCACGGTCGGTCATTTTCGGCTAGCCGTTTTGTAGCCGTTAGCTGTGTCTCGCGATCCAGTGGTCCAAATGGATTATTTTAGTAACATTCGAATCGTCTCATTAAGACGATTCGAATGGTACTAAAATAATCCAATTTGGATCACTGGATCACGAGATAGCCGGTCGGTTAAGCCGACCGTTGCCATCCCTAGATTCGCACCTAACATCTTATTAATTACTTTCTTATTTTTAGCCTATAAAAAAACACAACCAGAACCTATATTGGCCGATACCACTGGTGAGGATGAAGAGGAAGTTCAAAAATAGTCATAATATTTATACACATTTAATTATTATATATACTAGATAAAGTTTTATAATAATTTACTTGATTTTTTTGGTGATATAATTCCAAAGAGAATGTTCTTACATTAAATATGTTTTACAATTGGTTTGATATCTGAGTTAATTATTTAGAGATTGATTGCTAAAGATATATATTAGGTAATTTATCAATATCATGGGAATCATAAATTTGTATCAAAAGCATGACCTTTTCAATAGAAATGAAATCAGAGTTTACTAAATTTAAATAAAATTCAATACGGGCAATTATAAAACATTTTGAAAATATAATTTTATTACTTTGTTAATAATTCTGATTTAATTATCTTGAGTTTTGCTTAATGTTACTCGGAGCCTTTAAAATTAAATTTTATTATGCTGACAAATTACCAATCCAACAAAATCTATGCAAGAAAAATTTCACAATCTCAAGGATCCAATATGCAAATACCACAACTAAAAACTGTTGCATCTAGTGTAGCCAAGAATGGTAAACGATCTGAAATGACTATAGGTGCTGATAATACAGAATGAAAATATCAAAAAATTTAAATAAATAATCTTCTAGTTAAGTTACAAGTATAGTATATAGTATAAAATCTTTAAACAAACTACTTAAATAGGTAACCAAAAGTTGTACATATAGATCAATGTACTCTCATTAACCAAGAATATATTATTATAACTTAATAAAATTCACCTTCACGCAACATTGTGAAAGTATATAAAAAAAAAAAAATAAAAAATTATTGATAATATTTTATAAACCCAGGATTGAAATTTGACAATATTTATAATATTTGATTTATCTCAATGAAACGAATTGAAAAATAGAAAACCATTAATTTCTAGTCACTAGATCACAAGAAATCTTCAATCTAGTAAAATAAAAATTTAAAGATTATTTTGAGTATAATAAATATAATTGGCCAATTATTACATAATCGAAGATAACCAATTATTTGATTTCATGCGACTGACAATCCTAGATTTTTTATTGGACGACTTGGCTCTGAGTCACAATTTCAAATCTGGAAAGTTTGTGTAAAGAAGATTGTCCACCATGCTTAAAAAGCCAATGAAATGGGTTATATAAACATTTGTTTTAGGTAATTTTATTAGTTAAATATATATATAATTAATTTTTATATTGGATTTTGGGCTTGCTAGAATCGGTTCTACCACAAAATCCCATCCAAAATCTCAAAACCAAATCCCGACACGACTGGGTTACTTTAAGGAAGTTATAGTAGATAACTTTAATCTTTTTATGTTTTATGCATTTTCAGATTAGGTTTAGAATATCTTCTATTATAGTTGAAATCAATATTAGTAGTTAGAACTAATCATTAAATTATACAATTCTAGTGTTTATACTTTTAGATAAGTTAGTTATGATGAAAAAATATCATAATAAGGGTGTGGTGATTTAGTAAAGTGGTGAAGTTGTCGCACCCCCAAGTGGTAGAGTATAAGTTTAATTCTCATAGAAGACGAAAAAATTGGATTTAGAAAAACAGATTCGGCAACTATTGTTGTGGCTGGGAAAACTCAAGATTCTGTAACTGTGGTCGTACTAAGATAAAATTGGAAGGTTCTGTGTATTTGTGTAATAAAGGAGTTATACAAAAGCATGCAAGCCAGTTTAGTTAGTGCAAATCTAAGATAAGTTTTTCAAAATCACAGAAAGCTACAGAATCAATACAGCGGTAGGGCATTCACTTGGGAAGTTTCAAATAGAGAGATAGCACAGATCTTTGATAGTACTACATACAGATTAATACTCAAAAAACCAGATAAACTGAACAGGACTGAAGTGTTTGGCAAGACATTCCATCAATTAGGCCACCAGAGGAGTAATCAGAGAAAAAGAACCTAATCATAGGAATCAAAGCAGGTTATAGCCCTTCTGGGCCATCTGGATTAGTAGTTTGGGATAGTCAAAATATCAGTAATAGTTTGTAGGTATACTAGGGTTTGAGTGAACTTTTTAAGGGTAGTAGTAGGTAACTGTAGTGGCTTCAGCTTGCAAGTACTTGTCCTTGGACTCAGTGTAAGTTACTAAAGAAGACTAGACATTATGAAAATAGTGGATACTGGACTGTTCTAGTAGGTGATGCACTCGAGGATGAATCGGTTAACCATACCAGTAGTCCTATAGGTAGATATGACAATCCTGGAACTTGGACTGACAAATATATCACATGTTTTGGGTAAGGTTAGACAGATTAACATAGGAAACTCAGATTAGAGGGTTTAATTGAATAATTCAAGTAATAGTGGATTATAGGTATAGCATTTAGTATAACACCTAGCACATAGGTAGAATACTTAATTAGACATCCAAAAGGTGTAGATATGGTTAGAATGTATTCTTGTCAGAATGTCTGGTCTAGTGCTTCTTTGAAAAGGATATCACATGATCTTAAATCTAATAAAAGCGATAAGCCAAAGAGGCTAACCTTGACTAAAAAAAAAAAAAAAAGAAAAAATATCATGATAATGTGTTTGATGACCATTTCCAACTCTGATAATACAAATTATATATTATATTAAAACAATTATTATAATATTAGTTTTTCATATATAGAATAATAATTATTTTAACATAATATAATTTGTATTATTAGAGTTAGAAATGGTTGCTGATTATATCATCGTAACATTTTTTTGTTATGACTAACCTACCTCATACTCTTACAAGATTTATTTTAATTCTAATATTTATATCAACTAGTTCTTATACTAATTTATCTTCAACTACCAAACTACAGTAGTTAGTCTAGATAGGTTATTGTATTTAGACTTAAAGTGTTTTTTAATTTTACTTTTCTTGGTTTTTACTTTCATAACATAGACCTTTTTCTTCAATACAACTTTGGTGATCAAGTTGGTAGATCTTTCTTGCTTTAGGGTTATTTATCTAGTTTTTTGATCTCAGATTTTAGTTTTATGCAGTATTATTAAAAATCTTTACTATCTCCTTCTTAGATCTTGCTAAATAAGTTTTAAATATTTCAATTTTTAGATTTGAATTATTTAAGAGTTTTAATTTCAAGATAGTATACTAAGATTACAAGTAATATATATATCTAACCAATCATCAAATAAATATTACCAGTATATAGATCTATTTTTAAAAAAATATCTTTAGTAAAATTCAAACTCTAGATCTACTACTTGGTGGTAACAATTTAATTATTTCTCTAAGTACAGTATCACATATTTTAATAATAATCTAATTTTTATTTATATTTAATAAGCAAATTGCAAGTCATCTAAACAAAATTTTTTTTTATATATAAATTTACTATAAGCTCGAAAGTGAAGCACACCTATCTAAAACTTTTTTTTACTAAGTAAATTACTTTTGGGCTTTTAACAAAATTTGTAGAGCTCATCAAGAGGCATCTAATAGTAGTAAGAACATTAAAATTAGTTTAGTAGTTCTTGAAATATCTTTAAAAATCCTTTTATTTACATATAAAATTTCTTTAAAAAAATAGATTTTTTTTAGAAAATTATTATTTTGTGCAAAGTATACATGATGCATCCTATAGCAAATTACAGAAAAATTAATATAAATAAGCATTAAATTAAAGTTAGAGTTAGGTTTAGGGTTAGGATTAGAGTTAGACTAGAGTAAAAACTTTACAAAAAATATTTTTTATTAGTTATACAATAAGGGTTATGCTAGTAAAATGTTAAAATATTAAGAGGGATGCACTGAGTATAAGATGCACCAAAAAATAATGCACTTTATTTTAAAAGAAATTTTATATATTAGTAGGTTTTTTAAAGATTTCTTAAGAATCACCAAGCCAATTTTAACAATCTTATTACCATTAAATGCCTCTTGATAAGCTTTACAAATTTTGTTAGAAGCCCAAGAGTGATCTATTTAATAAAAAAAAGTTTAGATAGGTGTGCTCCACTTTCAGACTTATAATAAATTTTATATATAAAAAGAAAATTTTTTGTTTAGATAACTCATGATTTGCTTATTAATAAACAATTTATCTGTTATCTAAAGAGAATTTATAAATTTTTATAAGTAAATTTTACTATTAAGTCAAATGTGAAGCACTTTAATCTAAAACATTTTTTCTTACTAAGTAAATTACTTTTAGACTTCTAATAAAAGTTGTAGAGCTTATCAAAATGCATTTAATAATAATAAAAAAATTAAAATTGGTCTAGTAGTTTTTAAGAAATCTTTAAAAAATATTTTGCTAATATATAAAATTTTTTTAAAAAAATTTGATTTTTTTAAGGACAGTGTCATTTATTATCTGATTTTTTTATCAGAAACTTACTTCTCTCCCCCTTTTAATATATATTTTGATCAGGTCCTTATATATAATTTTAAAGTTTTATCTCCCTCTCTTCCTAAAAAATCACTTGATTTTTGTCATATTTCTAAAGAAATTTTATATATTAACAAACCATTTTTTAAAGATTTTTTAAGAACTACCAAACTGATTTTAATATTTTTATTACTAATAGATATATTTTAATGAGTTTTACAACTTTCATTAAAAGTCTAAGAGTGATTTACTTAGTAAGAAAAAAGTTTTAGATTGAAGTGTTTTATATTTAACTCAATAATAAAATTTACTTATAAAAATTTGCAGATTCTCTTTAGATAACAGATGAATTATTTATTAAATTTATTTTAATAAAATTTTAAAAATTATATTTTTTTTTACAAATTATATTTACTCAATCTAACTAATAAAATATATTCTTTTTAATTATTTTTAATACTGTATAATATTTTAGAAAAGATATAGCAACTTAATGAAGTTGATAAGTTGTTGCATCCCAAGTGACAGATCAAAAATTCAAATACTATTGGTAATGAAATTTAAATTTATAGAATGTATTTAGAAGACTGTATTCAATTAGATTAGTACTTGTAAAAAGGTTATATCAGCTTGTACTAAGAGGTAATAGAACATTAATATAATATATAAATTATACAAAACCTAAGTAAAACTGCTAAGTAAAACTAGTAGATTGGAATATAAAAGTCTATTTGACAAGATCCAACGTGAAGCAAATCAGCTGCTTAGGCGGGTCGCACCTGGGCATTTAATGCTGAGTGAGTCTTTATTAGTACAGGAATTT